GTTAGTAGACATTGAATACCGAATATATAAAAGGTGGTTCAGTCCATGAAATATCACGTATTCACATAGAATCCGGAGAAGAACCACACACAATGGAGTGCATTACATACAATAGATTCTGACAAAGTATTAATGATTGATTTTACAACTTGAACTCATGACATATAGGTGATGTTTCCTTCTAGAACAAAAAAAGGAATTTAAAAGGAGAAGAGAGAAGGTGAAATAAACAAAAAAAAAAAGGATCTATTCCTAAAGAATATGTTGTGATGATTGGTATAATCTACTCTTAACTGATATGTGAAAATAGAGAACCTTTAGGTAGGGAGCATTTTATCCCTCATTGAATATACTCGATAGGAATACGAATTACTAAAATTGAAACTAATAAATTTGGATATCAGATAGCTCAGTATACAAAGTATCTCATGCTTGTTCACTTCGGATTGGAGAAGGCCACACTCTAAGGAAATATGATATAAACAGTCTATCGAGATATAAATATTAGTGATTAATTTTACGATAATTTTAAATAATTTTAGAGAAAAGGAAATAAAAGGAGAAGCAGTGGAAATTGATGGGCAGTGGTTGAGTGGTCCATATTGTAAGTTGCCTTTGCTTGTGAATTATGCTTTGTTTTAGAATGGGGACAAAGAGGGGCCTTGTACAAATGGGACAATCACCTAATCAACAACTGGTATTTTCTTCTGAATCGACTTCTACTTCCTTACAGCACATGACAAACCAACAATGTGTTTCAAAGTTCATAGTGCAATTAAATTTCAAGACTCTCTGCGTTTCAATTTAAGTGTCTTAGTTTGACTGAATATAAATTTTTAAGAAACAAAAGTGAGACTTTTGAATTTTTGTAATTTAAAATTATATTTGTATGTACTCATTTGAATTTTATAATCTTAAATTTGTCATATAATATGTTAATATTAAAAACTTACTAAATATAGAAAGAGACCTAGTGTGATTTGATTGGAAGATTTCAACCAACTTGAGAAACACAGAGAATTTGTTCCATTGTCCAATGAATGTTTTCAGACCATTGTGTATCTAGTGCATTAGCTAAATGAAGTAATGAAATAAATGACAAGTCTTCTCTCTTTGGACATGATTTGAAATTAGTGATTTGATGTTTAATTTATTTGAAGTTGAAGTTTTGTTTAAATATGCAATTTAAATTTTTTAATTTTGCATTTTTTTTGTTATAAATATAAAAATTTCACAAGTTATATGAAAATTGTAAAAATTTCTCTAATTCTTTCTAATATAATTTTACTAAATGGATAAGTTCATAAACAAGATATCATAACATAATCAATATAGAAAGACATCACATTGATAGTATACATATTATTACAATTTTAAAATTGGGGGTACTAGAAAGGAAATAGGGAAAGAAATTACAATGTGATAATCGAACCCTCACCAATAAGGTGAAAGTTCAGGTAGCCAATCAATTGAGCTACTAATTAAAATTTCAAAATCACATGTTTGCATGTTCTTTTATAAATAAATATTTGCGATTACAAACTTTCAAATACACATAATTTTATAAGGATCCATTAGTCTATGATAATTCACTTAGACACCTCAATTATGAGTTGTACCTATTGAATCCCTCTACCTACTTGAATTTCAAACATCTGAACATATTTTTGAAAAGCAAAACACATAAAACCCTCCCTGAATTTGATAGCAAAATTCACTTTAGTACTTTAACTTTACGGATAATTATTTACTCCTTAATCTTTTTTCAAGTGAATCAAAATGCACCCAAATTGCTGAGATGACAAGTCAAAAAAAATGAGGCGTGTAAAGACAAAGAATTAAACAAAAAAAAAAGAAAAAAAAGAACCCCAATTATTTTCATTCCCTTTATCCAATAATCTTTTTTTTCTTCATCTTCTTCTTACCTTACCACCCCCAATCTTTAGTATCACTAACCCCACCCCCACCTCCCCATCCTTTCATCTTCCTCACACCCAATCCACCCCTCCCCCCCTCAACCACCACACTTGCACTACCCTTTCTTTTTCTTCAATCCCCCCCCCCCCCGAACCCCCACTCCTACCCTCTTTATTTCTCTTCGAATCTCGGTGCTTCACACTTTTGTTCTTCTTCTTTTTCTTTGTTGAACTTTTCAGATTTTTTTCTCCATCTTCAAAACGTCCCATCCCACCCTCATTTCCTTTAATTTCTATCGATAAGCCCAAAAAATATGATGAACAATAAAAAATAGGAAAGTCATCAATTTGTTCTTGTTTCAAATTAAAATTAGTCTTTATGGCAATGATTGAATGGTGAACTTGAAGCTATTTTCAATGAAACTCTACAAATTTTTTGATTTCAAATTAAATTTTTAGTTGTTATTATTTATTTATTATAATTTTGTGTCTTAAAAATTGAGTGTTGTTGTGAGAATGATTTTGAAATTTTGAATCTCTTTCAATGTGTTTCTTTTTGGGATTATTTTTATTATAATCGTGGATTAATTCTTATTTTCTGAGAGTTTTTTACTTTGTAAAATTGTGAATAAATAAATAGAAACAAAAAAAGAATTAAAAATCAAAATCTAAATATGCTTAATGTGATGTTGATGTGGCAATGACGTGACGCTGATGTGGCGTTGACGTATCAATGACATGACGCGTGTGGAATGCACTTGCCATTGTGAGACGATTTATAATATTAGGGTGTATTTTAATTCATTTGAAAAGAGATTAGGGAGGTGAATAATTACTCGTAAAGTTAAAGTGCTAAAGTGAGTTTTTTCTCCAAATTTAAGAGAAATTTTATGTATTTTCTCTTATAAAAATAAACTAAAAATATAAAATGTATGAAGTGCACTCGTGATGACACGACAATTATATTAATTAAATAATAACATGTGTTATTTCTGAATCTAAAAAATATTTAAAATGTATCATAGAGTAAAGAAAAAAAAAAGAGTAAAGAAAGAGAGATTATTTTAATGTAAAAAATATGTATGAAAAAAATAGTAACTTACCCACACCTTTTATATATTTTGGTTGAAGAACTTTCTTACTTTCACACAAATATACATCAATTTGAAGGCAAACAACACATTCACTAAAAATCTGAGCAAAACAAATCTAAATAGAAAAATTCTCCAAATAAAATTCACACAATTAGACATCAATTTAACAATAAATCACTACATTAACAGTAAATTGATAAATTTCAAACTTAAAGTCCTCTACAAATTAACATGATGAAAATGGTGGTGGTGTTGCCAATCCTATTTTAAATGGCAACATAAAAAAATATAACAATACAGCTTAAAAAATTAAAGTGTTTGGAGAGAAAAAGAGGAAGAAGGATGTATGGCAATTGCGGCAGCGAAACTGGTGGTGTGGTGGAGGAATAGTGATGGCAAAGTGGAGGAAGAAGAAAGAAAAAAAAAATTTCAAAGAAAAATACCCAATTGAAAATCTTTCATGCGCTTATACACGCCCTAGTTAAGGTGTCTGATTGAATTATGTGAATAACTTTAAGGAGTCATAAATGACTTAAGCCTTCTCCTTTTTTTTTTTTTTTTTGCAAAACTTGAAATGACTAATTTTTTCATACAAAATATGTTTATTACTCAAATTTTACATTTTAAAAAAATAGGAGTCACCATTCGAAATCTCAAATCCTACTTTTTGAAAAATATAATATTTAAAATCATGATCCCAAATCGCATGTTCAAAACACCTAATTAGATGATTTACAAAATACTTAGAAGATAGTTTAAACCTCCTTTGTTTACCCTTAATGAAAATTCAAATTTTGATTGTTTAGATGTTAATAATTTTATTTTTTATTTTTATAACTAACTATTCATTTTTTAATTATTAAGTGGGCTGTTTAAACCAACAATTTCGCATGGATAATGATCGTAAATGATGAAAATAAATACTCTCATTCTTCTTAATTTTCTTTTTTTTTTATTCTATCAAGGCAAACTCCACAATCACGTTTTTGACAGTTTTGTAGAGCGATCGATCTTAAATAATTTGCACCCTAATCAAATCGAGATCTCTTTCAATACAAGGATTAGTCATAACATAATATTTTGTTCGATAAGTTAGCCGATGAGATGGAGATATAGATTGAAAAAAGTATTGGAGAGAAGTGATTAGATAAAACATGATGCATCTTCAGTTTACTAATAAATATGACCTTAGATATGAGGATATGTAAATCACGTACTATAGAATAGAAGACTAGTAGTAGGTAGTGAAAGATTATTTTGTTTCTTTGAGTGTTTAGGCTTGTCGGTGTTTGTCATTTTACTAACCATATTATTCTCGCTTGGGATATTAATCATGGTTTATTGTTTGATGTGTTTCAACTATAGCTTTATTACACTGCTTTTTTTGTTAGTTGCTATGTTTTCTATATTGTTTCCTTCTTTTTGTTCTTTGTTAGTTGCTATATTTTCTACATTGCATTTGCCGCTCTTTAGTCCTGTCGTTTTTCAAAAATCGACTTAGCTACCTCTACAAATCATGATAAAATCTGCATATACTATATGCTTTTATCCTAACATTCTACATTCTATCCCTCTCATACCCTATTATAAAATTTTACTAAATATGTTATTATTGTACAATAAAATCAATTATTTCAAATTATCACCCCAAACATCCCTTATATGTAAAATTAAGAATAGTTTAAGATGCAAGCTCTCCACCCTTTCTTTAATTTCTCAACTTATAATATAGTTACTCTAAGTGACAAACGTTATATTATCAAAAATAGAAAAGTTAGATTTAAGATACATTCTAATTTCTATGTCCCATTTTAATTATGCTTTTAACTTTTTTTCCCATCCATTAAAAATATTAATAAATGTAAAATATAATTTATTTTTCAAAAAATTACTTCTTCAATGTTTGGTTGTCGATTTGGATCTTGATTTTTTAAAATTAACATTTCTTTTTTAGATAATTAAGATATGAATATAATTCAAAATATTTGAATTTTAGAAGAAGAAAAAAAAAAGGTGTAACACATCCTCCATTTCCCCAAATCCACTTTTCAAAATTGAAAAACAGTAATGCGCTCGAAAAGCTAGGGTTTATGTTGTTGCAGACAATTTGGGGATTTTATCTAGTTGAAATTAAGAGCTTAATCAATGGCGGATTCATCAGAGGGTGAGGAAGAAGGGAAACTAACAGGAGGAAGCCAGCAGTTAGTTGTGGATGATGATCTCCGGGAGATGGGTAAAAAAGCAGCTTGGAGTGTCAGCTCTTATAAACCTGGCAATGGAGTTCTTTCACTTCGCGATGATAACCTTGAAACCTATTGGCAGTAAATATTCTCGATCCTCCCTCGCTGTTTTCTACTCTTAGTTTCACTAAATGCTGATTTTTTGGGTTTTGATTTCTTTGTGTATTCAGATCAGATGGTGCACAGCCTCATCTTGTTAATGTTCAATTTCAGAAAAAAGTTAAGCTTCAAGTAGGTTCTATCTCATGTACAACTATACATTTCCTTCTTCGCATACTTTGCTATTACTTTATAATCAAAAGATGTTATCTTTGTGGACGAAAATGAACAATCATTCTTAATTTCAGAAAGTTGTTTCTTTGTGAAGGTTAACAGTGAACATTTCCTTCTGTGAGTTATGGATTAACATTTTTTTGTTACATGAACTTTTGCGATGATTGGAAGTGTTTTACTTTAATATTAAGTTCTCTTAAATTTTGGTAGAACTTAGCTAAGGCTATACAATTAAGTTTTAGGTGAAAAGGATGAAATATGTCATGCATTTATTTCTTTGATGCATTTAAATTTTTGCAGCCGCTTCGTGACTAATCACTTGAGACTGGTTTTAATTTCTTTCATCTGTTTTTTTTTTTTTGGTTAATTATTCTCAGTTAGTCGTCCTGTATGTTGATTTCAAGCTTGACGAAAGCTATACACCTGGTAAGATCTCTATCCGAGCAGGCGATGGCTTTCACAACTTGAAGGTAATAGTATAATGGAACTCTGAGATTAATAGTCCTGAATTAGTTATAGCAGTATAGTTTTAGAAACTTGAGACATTATGTCATTTTTTGTTTTTTTGTTTTGAAGGAGATAAAAGCAGTGGAACTTGTGAAGCCAACTGGATGGATGCATATATCTTTATCTGGTAATGATCCGCGGTAAGAATTTTAGACTTGGTCCCCTGATTTGGCAAGTTTTTGACTTGTGTTTCCTTTACTTCTTTTGCCAGATTATGTTGCATATTATTCAGTAGCTCTACACAGTTCTGTCTTTCTAGAAAATTTATGAAATCAAATTTGCTTGTGTTTCTACAAGAATATAACCACTATGAGGCATTCAAATCATTAGAATTTCATTAGTCCGATGGTCCACGTGGACATATATACAGAGCAGTATTTAATCCGAAAATCTGAAGTTGTTAAACAAAAGTAAGAAATGACACAATTTTTCTCATTTCTCTTACCGACTTATATATAATGAGAACATTCTTTTTCTTTTGAATCATAGATGATTAGATGTGACCCGAGTTTGTTTATGTTTAATCACACACTTCTCCCAACACATTTTTTAGTAGAAAGAGTGATTTTGATGGTTATATTCGCAAAATGTTGATGAGGACTAAATACTAGCAAAACTGTGGACTTCAATCTCTTTCTTTAGCATAAGCAAGCGGCTAAATCTGAGCACAACTGACAATGAAAAATAATGTGCTTTCTTGAAACTACATAAAAGTCCCAGTAGGTGTTTGGACAATATTTGGTTTGAAGTTGGAAAAAAGTATTTGAAATGTGAAGTTGTGTATGGTCATGGAAATTCACTTGAAAACGTCTTTGTGAATGTTGAAGACTTGTGAGTGGAAAACATTATTTCACTTGAAATACTGACCAAACCATAATTTCAATGTCAGTGTCTCTATTTCAATTAGAAGTTGAATTACTCAACAAATTGATCTTCAAATTTTTGTCTGCAAAATGGCACCAAATGTAAATAAAACTAATGTGAAGGATCTTAGTTCATTTCCTTACAAAAAAATTGAAATTTTAGTTTATTTTGTGGAGATACACGGAGGATTAAATCCAACCAAGACTAGAATGATTAGATTGTTGTCCACTTAGAATAACAAGGGACAAATTTTGTTATTATCTTGTCCTGTTCATCTTTCTCTTTTATGGATTTGGGGTCTCTGTTCTCTACTGACAGAAAGTGTCGACCAAATATCTGGATAACTTGCAAATGCAAACTGTTATTCTGACTTTTAACTTTGTTTTTGAGACAACCTCCAATTGCCTTGTGCAAATATGTTCTGCAAGTTTTGAACACCATCCTCACACTTGAGCTCTCTTAATTTTATTATATGAAGAGAGCATGAGTTTCTGCTCCTGTTTCTTTGATAGAAAAATTACAAGCCTAGTAAGTTATCATCCTAAAAGAGGGAAAGGAGGAGCATTTCAGTTTGTGTAGGTGAATTTCCTGTGCATGAATTGACAAACTTTTCCGTGCCACATCTTGGGTTTAAATTGTGTAGAGCTCCCTTACAAAAGCACATCTCAATTTATTCATTTATTAAGCTTGAAAAGTTGTTGGATGGGCATCAACTTTGAACAATATCATTACTTTTGACCCTATTACCAATAAAATTATGTACTACCTTTTCACAGAAAAGTATCAGTTGACCTATCATGTGTCTGTGGAAGCTCTCTCTTTCATTATAAATTCATTGAGTAACCATGTCCTAATTTATGTGACAGTGAAACTTTTGTCAACACTTTCATGCTGCAAATAGGTGTGCTCTCGAATCATCTTAATGGAAGGGACACTCATATCCGCCAGATAAAAGTCTATGGGCCAAGACCGTGCGTCATTACCCTGTCTTTTTTTCTCTCTCTCTGCTCTTCATGTAAAATATCAGTTCCAGTAAATGTGCAAAGAATCTGATAGATGGCTTATGCAGGAACCCTATCCCTCTTCAGCCATTTCAGTTCACTTCTACAGAGTTTATTACTTATTCTGCTGTGAGATGAAGCTCAAGGGACTATCCCAAGAGGAAAGATGCCAACCATATTTATCGATATCAAAATGCCACAATTTTGCCATGAAAGTTAAAGAATGATCTTGCTACGTAGCTTTAGAACTACGAATCCCTTTTGAAGTGTTATCAAGTACTAGCATTTTGAGAAATTGTATGATGATCTTATGTTGTGTAGCAATGTTGCCAAACTGACTTTGGCAACCATACAGATTATACCCCCAAGAAGTAACTTTATACAAGTCAAGGTCTGAAATCTGTCATTTACATATAGCCAACTTATTTTCATTATTTCATCTGTTAGTAGAAATCTATGATAAAATTAGCTACCAATCTCTATGCATATGCCTCTGGTACTGTTCAAAAGTTACCAGCTTCACCCACAAAAGCTAACTTCAGATTTAAATAAATAAATAATGGTCATACTAAACTTTGTAGTTATTCCACAACATAAGTAGGTCTTTTATTGTAAGATAGTATTCACTTAATAAGCATTTTGTGGGAAGAAGACCAAATTGCTTATTTCAAGTTGAAGGTTAATATTTGAGTCAAATTAACTATGAATGGAAGTTGAAACAGAGGAACAAAACAGAAACTACGCTAAGCTAGCGTTTGACCATAGATTTTCAAATATTATTGGCAAATATTATTTGGATAAAAATTTAGGTAAAATTTTATCATGTGTTTGGCCATAGTATTTGAAATATATATTTCATTTTTTTAGAAAAATATGATTTATACTCATATATTTTAAAAACTACCAAAACTAATAATAAGTTTGTATACAAGTCAATTGAATCTTCATTATAAAAATAACAAATAGTGTCCATGACAATAGAGCAATGTGGTAATTTGGAGTGAGTGCAACAAACATCATTTCATACATCGTGAAATAGACAAAGCACATGACTTTGTTATCTTGAGTCTGTTGTTCATCAATAACCATATCATCATTTAACATTCACTGAATATTTCATTACTACTTTGGTGTTAATGTAAAAATTATGTAATACAACGCAAGCAATAACTAGAGAGGGTGTTTTTGTAAAAGATAAAAATTTGGGGTAAAATTTCAATTTTTAAAAGATCCCAAATAATGAGATTTGGTTCAAACATTAGAAAAACTAATATTTGAAAATTTGGAATATTTGCCAAACAATGAAAAAGTGTATGGACAGATACTATTTGTCAAGTTTTTCTCCAAATATTATTTGGAAAATCTATGGCCAAACGGGCCTTGTCGTATTGTAGAATAAGCTTTCAAAAAGAGTAAAAACGAGGTAAAGCTAATACAAAAATAATAGATAAAATTATTAAATAATAAGTCAAGACAGAATGAAAAGAAGGAAGTCAAATTAACAAAAAGTTCACTGTAAGTATCCTTTACCAAATCGAACTTTAGGGAATTAAGATAATCGATTATGAATTATTCAGCAGAGTTGGAATGTAATTTGCACTATTTCCACATTTAAAAATACGATATTTACATAGAATGATAGTGTAATATAACTTAACTTGTAATAGTAGGTTAAACACTATTTCTACTAACACTACCATAACTCAAGTGGGTTTAGAGATTAATGCTGCTTTAGCATGATGAACAATAATACAATACATGTTAATACAGGTGCTGCTATCTACACAGCTACTGTTAGAGAAGCTGCACGTTGCACTACGAAAATCCTAACTTACAAATATGACTGAAACTGGAAAACATTAATTCCAAAATCATTCACAGACTGGTTTTGTGTCGAAGCTGCTCAAGCAGATTGCAAAGGCTTGATAGGCAGAAAGAGGATAGCGGTAATCCATGGTAAATATGTCTTTTCCGATTTTTCCAAACTGTAAAATTACTTTTTCTTGTTCCGCGGCAGGTATACTGTGAGGAGGAGCCACCGCTGCTACTAGCTGGAAATTTTTTACCGAAGCCACAGTAACACGACCTCTAAAATTTAGGCACCAACACTGCAATTGCTCATGCCATCTAGGGGCTTTGTTTTTAAGAACAAGTGACTCTCGAAGAGGCAATGCCACCGCTGAACTTGAAATACTAGGTGAACTGACATCTTTAGCTGTCTCTTTGGAATCTGAAACTGATGGAGGAGATGCCTTTTCACCAAAAGACCGAGGGAATGATGTTGGTGTTGGAGCACTGCCTCCCTCTTGGATAGAAGAGAAAGGAATAGAATGCATAGCACAATGCATTCTCCTAGGTCCTCTTGTACGGAGAACATTGAGTTCATAGGAGATGTTGGCGATACTGTAGTTGCATGCAGGTCCTGTTACGGATACCTGCTTTGTGCAGAATCTCCTACTACGTTGACTACGTTCTTGAATAGATGCATCACTGGGGGGTTGGTTATCGTATATGGTGAACTTGGTCCCAAGAAAGTTAGACCTGCTCAAGTTGTTTTCAACAATATATTAACAAAATGAGAGAACAAGAACTTCGATGGGTACTTTCAAAAGGGTAGTTAAGCACAAGTTAATAGAAAACAGTTAGCAGTTTGCGAGGACTTGCCTCAATTTCCCAAGGTAAGTATTACTTGCTCGAGAAAAATCATCTGCAACCAATGTAATTACAAAATCTGTGCTTGTTGCCCTCCTGATCCTTCTGGCAGCCAGCAATAGTTTATCACTCTCATCCTCAGCTGTCATGAAGTAAAAAGATCAGATGTCTAGGTGGTTAATGGGATAATGCTAAAGACAACTATGGAACTGCTACAGTACTGGTGCATTAAAAGGTTGGGAAAGACAGAAGTGAAAACTTGGAACTCAATCCCCCTTCAGCTGTCTGATGGACAATTTGGAAGGAAAGGAATGAAAAAAATTTGAAAGCAAAAGTAAATCATTAATTAGCATTAGGTATAGATGTATTTCTCTAATATTTTTTGGTGTACCCATATCTATTGTATATGAACTGAAAGCCATTAGACGTTTTGAGTTCTTCACACTTGTAACAATGGAGATCTTTCCATAAATACTTCTACAGAACTTTCTTGTTGTTGGATACTCAATAAAATGCCTTTAATAATCAAAATAGAATTTCAGATGTGCATCTCCTTAAAAAATCAGATCAGATGTGCGCCAATATTTTTATAATGAAAAATTATAGACCACAAACATTAAGAAGAAGTTCTTACTGTAATTATATTCCAGTGTAATAACTTGACAAGTATCACTAAAGACCCATCAACCCACGTGTACGTAACTCATCAAAGTAGAATTCAGGGTTTATGTGATGAAAATTGATTTATCAATCAAATACACAAGGTAGGTACATATTCGAGCCAGCAACAAAGCACACAATTATCAAAGAGGAAATCAATTTCATACTACAGTGTCGAAAAAGGGGAAAAGGCTAGAAGAAGAGCGTGACTTACATGGGGTAAAGCCAAAGTAGAGGCGATAAACTGAATTGTCACTGTCCCGTTTGATAAAGCAATGGATTGGGGATTCACGGGGACCAGGCTGGTTCAAAGCAGAAATACTTTCTTCAACTTAATTGACACGTTGGTGGTAGGAATAAAATAATAACCAAACAGAGTATGAACAGTTACCTGCTTCAGTGAAATGGGGAAGGTTATTCTACCACATTCCTCAGGAGTCCTGACAATCTCTTTTGTAACTTCTCTCCATGACTTGCAAACAGATGCACAAGAGATCACCACATTGCGAGCAGGCCAAGTTGTCTCACTCTCTTCAACCCTGCTGATTATATCAAAAAGTAGCTCTGGTGGTAAATTTGCCCATTGCCCTTGTTCACTTGGTTCAAAAGGGGCCACATCAGGGGCTATATGAGACCGGGTTCTGTTGCACCAATGTCTACCTTCCACTCTCCTCCTTGATATATTCCCTATCCCATCTCTCATCTCCCGCAGCTCACGGACAATGCTCTTGAAGGACATTTCTGTTGATCGCATCAACCAAATCTTACCTTCAATGAAGTAGCAAAAGATTTAGAACAACAAAGCAGCATAGTTTCTGTATTTCAATCATCAAATAAATATTCTTTAGACATGACAAAAGCCACCTCCCCAAACCCCTAACAGTAACTCTTTTCCAGTTAGCTGGTACACGAACTCCAACTATAATCCTAACGATTAAGCTATCATGTCATCGTCTATCTTGAGCAAATATTTATGGAAAGAATAACAAGTTCCCCCTTTTATCGTCTTAATAAGGAACTCTTAGTCAAGATCGATTTTATGTTCAAGATTCAAGAAGGGGAGGAACCACCACCCAAAGGTGCTTTTACGAAAGTATGATCACCAGTAGCTAATACCATTACCTACTACATACACCATGTCTTCAACTACCAGATCTTAACAATGTGGCTCACCTTCTATGTTAATTAAAAAGGATTACCTAAATATCATTAACAAATAATTAAACCGTAAACTTATTTATCTCTGCCCCATCCTCATTAGGGCGGGATTGTAGGATCTGCAAAAAAACAATGAACATGTAATCACCCCAACAATCAACATCAAGATTTATTGCGAAGAAGAATGAAAACTTCATCAATCAATCAAGTAATCCAAGTTCGACATTTGTGTTTTAGCAACAACACCAATTCAGAAATTTAAAATGCCAGTTTCCCTAACAATAAAACTATAGAAAACCCCAAATCCAAGAAAGTGAACAAATTAACCGTCAAAATCCATTTCCCTACCGATTTCAATTTCATTACAATGGTGGATAATTTTGTGTTACGCCGGTACAAATATATGAAGGAGAAGGAAAAAACCTGAGAAAATTAGATTAAAAAAAATGAGATCAATGAAAGACGGTCAATATCTGTTCCATCTGTGAGATCGCCGCCAGTAAACGCCGTTTCCTCCGCCACCAATGTAGAAGAAAAGGGTCAAAGATGATAGATACAGTTAAACTATACGTATGTAACCCCCACCCCACAAGTTGGATTTATTATTATTATTATTAATTTAATCCACTAATTTATTTTAGAAAAAATTAGGGTTCCTAATAGGGTAAAGATATTTATACGATATATTTTTCATTACTCAAACTCATCACTAAAAGAGTAATAATTATACGGTTAATTTGTATCTTAACTATTTTTCTAGTGTGTTTTTTATATTCACAATTATATTTTAATGGGAGAGTTCAAGAATTTTATCCTTTTTAGACATTTCGTTTTATTTTTAGAAAAAAGAACTACTAATAGAGGATATAATTATAATATAAGACTTGAAATGGAACGAATAAAGGTGCAAACTTTGACCGTCATAGTGGAAAAAAAGTATAAAGAT